ATGTCTCGTCACAAATTGGCACAAGTATTGCATTTTTGCTTTAATTGCCACTATTTTTGTTGATCTTTTTGTATCAACTTTTGCGCTGAAAATATGCCAAATATAATGCTTTTTGTATGAATTGCTAGGAATTGCTTGCATTTTATTTATAGATTCCGTTACAACACTATTAATAGTTTGTAATGACTCTACAATACAATCGTATTAACAGTTAAATACTTTATAATTTTAAATAGCGTTTACAAGTTTCACTATTTTTTGTTTGTATATAAATAAAGTGTCAAAACCTTGCGATTCACAAGAATCTGTGTTTTGAATCTAAAAATAAGTTTTTTAATTAATTAATGAAATATGGATTTGAAGGGAAATCAATGCATAGCTCAAGGATTAATGAATTTAGTTTTCAAACATTTTTCCTATCCTTTCAGTTCATGTGTTGAACACAGGTTTTGATATTCAATATTTGCTTATGTTTTGCGATATTATTACTAAACTAATGGATACTTATAGCGATTGTATAGATTCGGTATGAATTGAGCCAATGATTGAATATTTATAATGTTTTAAATAAACCCTTCTTCAGGATTGCGACGATTCTGACAGTTATGAGAGTGAATCCAAACAAGTGATTGTCGGCATCTGTGCGATGGAGAAGAAGACAGAATCGCGTCCAATGAAAGAGATATTGACACGACTTAACGAATTTGAATTCATTAAGACTATTGTCTTCTCCGAGAAGACAATTCTTAGCGATCCGGTAGACATGTGGCCGCTTTGCGACTGTTTTATATCGTTTCACTCAAAGGGCTTTCCGTTAAGCAAAGCCATTGAATACGTGTCACTTCGGGAACCATTTATTATCAATGATCTTCACATGCAATACGATATTCAGGACAGACGTAAAGTGTATAGAATATTAGAGGAATCGGGTGTAGAGTTACCGCGTTATGTGGTTCTCGACAGAGACTCTCCTAATCCTGAAGAACGTGAACTCATTGAGAGTGAAGATCACATCGAAATCAATGGCGTTGTCTTTAATAAGCCGTTTGTCGAGAAACCAATTTCGGCCGAAGACCACAACATTTACATCTATTATCCGACGTCTGCCGGCGGCGGAAGTCAACGGCTCTTTCGAAAGATAGGCTGCAGAAGTAGTGTCTATTCTCCGGAAAGTCATGTCCGAAAAACAGGTTCTTATATCTACGAAGAGTTTATGCCAACCGATGGAACCGATGTGAAGGTGTATACGGTTGGCCCCGATTACGCTCACGCGGAGGCCCGCAAATCACCCGCACTCGACGGGAAGGTAGAGAGGGATAAAGAGGGCAAAGAAGTGCGATATCCAGTGATCTTAAGCAACACCGAGAAACTAAACGCGCGGACAGTGTGTCTGGCGTTCAAACAAACCGTTTGCGGCTTTGATTTACTCCGCGCTAACGGCAAGTCATACGTGTGTGACGTAAACGGGTTTAGTTTTGTGAAGAACTCAATGAAATACTACGACGACTCGGCGAAGATCTTGGGGAATATGATACTCAGGAATCTGGCGCCACAGCTGCACATCCCATGGCTTATACCCTTCCAATTGGACGATCCGCCGATAGTGCCCACGACTTTGGGCAAAATGATGGAACTCAGGTGTGCTATCGCTGTCATCAGACACGGAGACAGAACTCCCAAACAGAAGATGAAAATGGAAGTAAAACACCCGAAGTTTTTCGAAATATTCGACAAATACGGCGGTTATAAAGACAGCAAACTTCACGTGAAGCTTAAGAAACCGAAGCAATTGCAGGAAGTGTTAGACATCGCGCGATACCTCATCTCCGAAATCGACCAAAATTCCGATCCGGAAATCGAGGAAAATAAGTCAAAACTCGAACAATTGAAGTCCGTTCTCGAAATGTACGGACATTTCTCCGGTATTAATAGAAAAGTTCAGCTGAAATATCAGCCTAAAGGCAGACCCCGTCAGTCCAGCAGCGAAGACGGTTTGACTTAATTTTATCATATTTTTGATTATATACCGTAATACCTGGCTTAGTAGTGCATGCAATACTAAGTCAATTTCAGTAAAATCGTGTTTTTCAAAATCATATGCAATCTTATCTAGGTAGTATTGCACTCCTTCACTAAAAATGACATATGATTGCATGCAATAGTATGTAAAAGTCAATACAGAATATAAAACGATAGGATTTTCCGCTGAGCTGAGACAGCCGTCTTTGGCCACATTATTTGTGGTCAACTTTGTGTCTGAATTACATTACCCACTATTTAACATCAAGTCCAAGTCGTTATCACTTATATCAATGTTTATCACTTTATTTATGTCAGAATTTGCAAGCAATTCAAAATTTTGAGACTATTCTAATTAAACACAATGTTTGACAAGAAATATACAGTATTGGATCAGTTGGGTGAAGTGATTGGGTTTTAGCATTTGGTTCACACAAATGATTCATTCATACAAATGATCTTATATTTAAAATATGATTAACATTTATTTTTCACCACTTTTAATTTGATTAATGATTGTGTACTTTTGCTCAATAGATAGTTTATTTCGCTTTGAAGACATTTTATTCACAATTAACTAATGATTTTGGTTAACTTATAAACAAATCGCTATGTTTTTTGGCCAATATTTTAAAGCAATTTTTGGTTAAGTTTTTGTACAAAAAACATGTTACTAAAGCTGTCCTCTATATATCATAAAAGGTTTTACTTTTTTAATGTTCACACAACTGACCCTAAAATGCATTGAATGTTGTATTCACTGTTTTATACAGTGGCCAACATTAAGAAAGAAAGTATTTTTGAGAGGTAGCGGATGAGCAATAATAATAGTACAAAATTGTTCACACAAATTATCCGTTCATACAAATGGTACTTTTTAACATTATGTCTATGGAGTGCGGGTTTTGGTTTCAGGGTTTGGTTTATACAAATGGTTAGTTCACACAAATGCTATTTCACCCAAATGATCCAATACTGTATATTCAATCGTTAAGCCAAAGTTTTTAGGCAAAACGACTTTTAAAACAATTGTACTGTTTTTAGAAAAGCATATAAATTAATGCAATATTATGTCATTTTCAACAAAAATTCCAATTGCCCTAAAATAGAGTGCAATCTTACCTAGATAGTATTGCACCCCTTTACTGATATTGACTTAGTATTGCATGCATTTCTAAGCCAGGTATTACGGTAATTGAAATTTGGATATTTGTTCAGAAAATTCTGGCGATCCTTCACTGCTATGTATAGTGAAATGGGGCGGAGAGTTGACCGCTGGCGGCCGCATACAGGCCGAGGAATTGGGCCGAGTTTTCCGTTGTATGTATCCGGGTGGACAAGGTATTGCTGTACTGCTACTAATACTTTAATACTTGATTATGTTTTGTGCGACAAATTATATCTATCTCTTAAAATTATTTTCATTTTAAATTACTTCTGATTGCTATTTTAGCCAATTTTTCTGTTTTAGCCATAAAATTAAAAACTGAAAAATTACTAAAACATAATGTAAGAGATTTTGTATAATTTGTTTGTGTTTAGTATTGCTTTCGCGGGATTTTAGATTAGATTATAAAATATGATGATTCGGTTGTTTCAGAGATTATTGTTTGTGAATGATTTTGAATAACTCTCTACTAATTTGGTGTTTATCTGAAACATCCGATTGGGAAAATATTTGTGTTTAACATTTGTGTAATAAATGATCTGTGATTTGAATCTAAAGGTGAATACGCGGGAACTCAAGGCCTTGGTTTGCTTCGACTGCACAGCACTTTCCGACACGACCTTAAGATCTATGCATCAGATGAAGGTATTTATCATATATTTATGCTTTCAGTATTCAATCTAAAGGTGAATACGCGGGAACTCAAGGCCTTGGTTTGCTTCGACTGCACAGCACTTTCCGACACGACCTTAAGATCTATGCATCAGATGAAGGTATTTATCATATATTTATGCTTTCAGTGTATTATTAATTGCATTTGAAATTAAGGACGCGTTCAGATGACTGCGGCTGCTTTCGCTAAGGTATAGCCTTATAGAGCATTATCTCTAAATTGTCGCATAATAAACATAAAGTCATTAATTTTAGGGTTTGTTAGCACTTGAAGGAGAGTTGACTCCAATTTTGGTACAAATGGTTAAAAGTGCGAACACTAATGGATTACTTGATAACGATTGCGATTCTAGTAAATATCAAAATGCAGTGAAACACAGATTACATGATATGATGCAAGTGGACAGAGATTTCACTCCAGAAGACATGGAACTTCTGAATCCACTTCACGCCCGTTCCGTCCAAACAGCGCTTAATTTTGTGAAAAATCCGGTCAAAGCCTGTGATACTGTTTACGGATTTATACAGGAATTGAATGTCTTGATTAAGTCGA